CACCCGCACAAACCATAAAACAAAAGGCGGTTCGCGGCAACAGCAGCAACATTGCACGTCAACAACATGCGGTAGCGATGACAGCAGCAACAGCAACAGCAGCAGCAGCAACAGCAGCAACAGCAGCAGCAGCAACAGCAACAGCAGCAACTTGTGCCCGTTGTCATTTGTACAATTCCCAGGCAGCAGCACATGCATAAGAGAGCAAAGTTTTTTCTTTAATAAAATTAAATTTAATGCTGCCAAACGCTCGACGAACGGCGTCCGTTCGGTTTCATTTTATTGCAGTTTTTTTCGGTTCTTTTTATACCCTGTGAAACGAAATGTGCATATCGATTGGGAAAAGGGGTTTGTAACAGAGTGCAGTGAACTCAATGAAAAATATTTCATATTTAATATATGAGTGCAATATCCTGCTTAAACAATGTAGGCATAGTAAGCTGTATACAAAATATTTTAGACATATCATTAACAAATCTCTAAGAGCATAAAAACTCCGGTTTATCAAAGATAGCTTATATTTTTGATATTTTTTGTGGCAAATTGCATTGCAGACACCCAGCACAAGGATGACGACGCCAGCAACCGCAAATGCAAATGAGCCACAAATGCAATGCACATGCATAAAAAATGAAAACGGTTAAATTGCCGAGAGAAAGATGCAGATGCAGATGAAGATGGCGATGTAGGAGTAGAAGGAGGCCTCACAAAGTATCCATAAGTTGAGCTCGAACGACATTTCTGCCGGTCCTCACGAAATATTGTATGATTAAATATTGTAAATGCCAAAAGTTATGAAAGGCGCACCGAGACCGACCCCAAGAAGTTGCCTTTTGTGTGAGGCATTCAGACAATTCCGAATCCAGTTTTTTTGGGGCATTCGCTTACGCCCACCGCACAGAATTGCCATGGAAAAGTGCAACGGCCACACCTTGGTGCCACAGTCCAAGTCACAGGGGCATCAGGTTGCCTATTTTGGCATGACTTGAGCGAAACGAACATAAATCCATTCAGAAAAGGACAAAACAGCCAGAGATCCCATTGTGTCTTGATGTAAAAATAGGTTCAAGTAAAATTGTGAAAAATATTTGATACATATTTTTCCAAGAAAATAAATAAATGAACAATCCTTCTATCACAAAAACAAACAAACTGAAGATGTAAATAAAAAACAAGACAATTTAAATTGTATGAAAATGAAAATAAAGAAGAGCAAGTTATTTGTTACACTTATTTTAAAGAAGTCTTAAAGTTTAAAGGTTTATAGAATATTTTTTGTCTAAACGAGATAAAATCTGTATCATATTCGCGTTTCGTGACTACTTAATCATTTTTAATTTAGTTTCAGCTTGCATTTTCAAATATAATTTATGGGTGTCACTCATCTCGTTTTATTACCAAAAGTAAACTACCAAAAATCTAATAATTCCCATTTAAAAATAAAAACTGAAATCGATTTACCTGCCGTCAAAACGTGATCGACTTTCTAAAAATAACTCATCGAATCTCTGGTCATGTCAGCTGTTTTTCTGTGCATGAGGAAAAAAACACATTTTGTCGCAACTTAATTGACCGCAACACCTTGAAAATAATACAGGTGCGTGGTGCGGGGGGAGTGGGGGCCTGAAAAGAGTGTGCATATTTTAAATATAACAAGTTTCGCTATGGAAATGCAAAAGTGGGAGATATATGGCCAGCGAGTCATGCCAAATATAAGCAACGAAAGACGGCTAAAAAAAGTAATTGTGGCTAAATGTCAAATGCGACAATTGTTGCCATGGCTGCACCAGCTTGTTGCATTTGTTTTTTGTTGTTGTTGTTGCCGGTCAGCGTTGGCGACTCTGGCAAAACGCTGGCAAAGTGAACGGTACAAGCTGAGCGGTCATGATGAGAAAGGAGCAGGGGGAGGGCGGACAGCAGGAACTTTGTGGGTTGGTCAATTGCTTCGTGGCAATGGTAACAGAGTGCCGCACTAAATGAGGCTTAGCTTTAAATGGAGACACTGAGAAAATTATTACCTAAAATCATATTTTCAAATAGAAATATGTTACAAGAATCATATACTACAATTAATATATTGTAATACATTTAAACAAGTTTTTAAAGCAGTTTTATAAATACGTTTCAAGACCCAATTATTGGTTTCTTATGCATAACATCTCTTTAATTTCCTACCTATTACTATATGTTTTTTACAGTGCCCCCTGCTTGCTGTGTCACTTGTATCTCTGGCGAAACTATGGCTTGCATATCGTAGTAATTACTTGAGGGGATGCAATCTGCGAGCCGCACTAAATATGCTAATTATGCGTTAATAAGCGCTCCGGCTAACGGGGCGTATTGGTTATATGTACATAGAAATATATACTAGCAGCAACTATGGCTGTGTGTGAGATAATTTCTTGGTTCCTCGACTATTAGATTCGTTTGCTATTTGCTGTCACCTCGACTTGAGTATCGAGAATATGGCGGCAACTCCGGTGAGGCCAAGAATTATTGCGAAACTTTCTGTGCTGCCAACAGCCTCGGGGCCGGTGGCTTTAATTATGAACAATCAGGCGCTGCGGCAGTAGTTGTTGGTCTTTCGGGTTTTTGCTCCTTTTTTTCTGCATGTCAATCAAAAGAGCTCAAAGTCGTGATTTGATGATTTTCCTATGCCGCAGCACAAATTTTGTTCGCTTGCCATTGTTGCTCGTTTGTTGTCGTTGTTGTCGTTGTCGGTGGGGTCAGGCCAGAGAAATCCATTTGTCAAGTAGAACAGCAACCTCAACTTGAGTCTCACATCTCAAAGTCTGTCTGCTGTCCGTCTGTCTGGGATTCTAAGCCCGCCTGTCCTTCAATAATCGTTGCCAAAAGGCAGTGACGGCGGCAAAAACAATGAATTATTGAAGCCAACAAATTGTGATTGGCGGAGAAAGAGAATTCTAATCAAAAGTGAGAGGCATGAAAATTTTGATTTGTGCGATGGGGAATCGAGTGAATGATGAATTATTAAGTATTTAAGCCATGCAATGAAATGCAAGGGATTTTTATTAATAAATGTGTAAAATATGGAAAATGACAGCCATTAAATGGCTCACAAAAAATTGGGTTTTGTATATAGTTATGAGAAAAAGAGTCCTATCGATATGTCAAGCTGATTTGTATACAATATTTAAATAATATGAGTAAATTCAAGCAATCGAATATTTAATAATATACTCTACAATGTATTTATTTATTTTATGTTTGTATTTTATTTTTACAATTAAAAACCAATCCAAAGAGCACAAAAAACAATAGTAATTAATTTGTCATTCAGTTGTTATAAAGACATTATTTTCTGCCAAGCCATAAAAACCTTGATGAAAATTAGTATATAGTTCCTTGACTTTTGTATTAATTTAAAATAAAAAAAATTATGATGCCATTAAAGTTATGCAAAAAATTATAATCCTCTATAGAACTTATATTACCTATGATTTATGAGTCCTAAAAATAAGAATGATCGCTGCAATTATTTCGAGAGCTGGCGCCAGTTGCTGCAAAAATTGCCTCAACGACATCTGTGGCGATCTATAAGCCCGGCTTGTTTTATTACAACATCTCAACACATAAATTGAACAATGTCACGAAATAAATTTGTCTGGAGGAAGCCGAAAGAAACAAAGGCGAAACAGTTTCAGCTAACGTCTGTTAACGTTGGCTGATTTTTATTTATTTCGCTGACTTTTAGCAAGTTGCTAACTTTATTTATATATTTTTTTTTTGTTTTTATTTTACTGCTGCTCCCATACGCCCCCGCACCCTTCTCTCCCCCCTAGGAGACGTGGCTTCTTGGCTCTTTGACTTTGTTGCCGCTGCTGCTGCTTTTTGGTTAATTTATGCAACGAACCAGTTTTGTTTGGTTTCCATGGCGTTCGCTCAGTGTCAGCACAATCTTTGTATCGCTCTGCACTCGAAAAAAGTTATTTCTACATTTTAGAAAGTACTCCAATATATATTTTTTTATTTTAAAGGTTTCAAAAATCACACGGAGACTTTGTGTCAAAGGGTATTAACCTTAAGATCGTGTCAAAGACAAACAGATGGCTTGACAATATATAGAAATGTTTCTGATAAGTCAAGTAGTTCCACGGGACTGGTCGTTAAACAGTAAATAAATTGAATTTATAAGTTTTAAGAACTGTTTTATTTTTAAGTAAATTTTCCTTTTGGCAAAGCTGTACCAATATTTTTATTTAAATCAAAACCGGACTTGATCTCGAGGCTGAAGAGTTCTGAAATATTTATTTACGTACAATTTTGAAACAATATAAAAATACATCTAAAAAAGTATAACAGTTAAGAAATAGCATCATTTACCACTAAAATAGAGTGTTTTTTTATTTTACTAAGTAAAATGAAAAAATATTCAATCTTTAAGTTAGAGAACATTATTACATTAAAAAGTAAATGAACAATGAAGAAAAATAATTCTTTATTAAAACTATTAAAAAACTTGATTTGAATTAAATAAGCAGGAGCATTCTTTTTTTTTTTTCCATTTTGGAAATCAAACATATGTTAAAAAATATCAAAGTCACCATACATTTTTCCAAGTGTACTTATATCGAATTAAATTTTTATTAAAACATTGGCATTTGAGCGTTTGCCTTTTGTTTATTGCATTTGCAATTTCTAATTAAGTTTGGTTGCCAAAAAAACAAAGCAAAACAAAAAATGAATAAAAATCGAGAGAGGGTAAAAAAAAACCAAAGCATCAAAAAAAGTGATCATAAAGTTTCCAACTGGTTTGGGTCAACCACTGGGCAGTCAAGAGGTCTTTTTTCGAGCGGATCTCTGGTGACTTTGTGACTTTGCCCGTGCTTTTGCCGTTAATTCCTAACCGCAGTTCAATGCAAACGAGAAGCGCCGCTTAAAAGCCATTAAAACGAACCAGTTTTCAATGCAGAAAAGAAGTCTTATCAACTTATATTTATTTACACACGACTATATACAATAAATCAATCAAATGGCTCCTATTCCTGCCTCTGCTCCGCCCCTGCGGACTGCCTCTTGGCCTCCTTTTTCAGCTTGGAGACGTTGTGGCGCAGTTTCCGCTTGAACAGCAGCTCCCGGTTCACCGCCTTCAGGTCGTCCATGCTGCACGTCTTCAGATTTCGCACCGTCTTCGAGATGAGCTCGTCCGTGATCTCGATTTTTGTCCGAGAAAGTCGCAGCTGTCGGGCATTCCGCCTGGCCAGTTCGGAGCGATACAGGAACAGGTGGTAGGTGACAGTGGGCTTCACGTTCTCCATGCTTCTCGGGGTAATTGGTCTTCTCCTTCGGAGTGATTCTTTCAGAAGTGCGATTTGCTGACCAGTGAAAGTCTTCCTTTCGCCTTGACTTCTCTCAGTCGAATGACATAACTTCCCTTTTCTCCTGCCCTTCTTATACGTATGTTCACTTGCTCCCTTTTTCAGTTACCTGTGTCTGTGCGGTTACCTGATATGTCACCACAGGTCAGAGCAGGTCAACTGAGGGTCGGCTCCTCTGTAAATATTTGTGCCAAAATATTTCATTACCTAATCCGGACTAATCCCCATTTTGGATCTTAAGCCTTGGCTCGGTTGACCAGACATTATTATGCTTGATGCCCGGGGAAAGGGTTGCAGAAGAAGGCCTAATTCCAGGACATCTGAATTGAGCAAGACAAATCTTGTTCGCAATTGTGACAGAATATTCTGGAAAGGATTTCAAGAGCACTTGACCAGTTGACAAAAATATTAACTAACGCAAAAATAAATAGCAAGCACGAGATTCAAATCGGTTAAATTTAATTATTTTAGAAAAATTGGTCAGAAAACTTTATAAAAAACATATTATCCTTAAATACTTCCTAATAATGTTTAATTTTTAATTTTTTTTCTAGGACTTTATTAAATTTTGAGTTAAAAATCGTTTTACTTTAAATTTAAACTTATATTGTGCCACGTGTATATTTTATATTCAACCAATAACTTTGTACGTAAAGAAACCAAGAATTATCAAATATTTACATTACCAAAAAATAACAATTATTATACTTCTCGTAAACAAAATAAACAAATCTAAATATAGTTAACAAAGTTATGACGGGGATTGTTAAAGAAAAGCCTTGAGTTGGACAGTTGAGAAGAATGTTTTCCGACTGCTCTTCAGCTTTTCCCAGCACAGCATTTCCCAAGCATTCTTTCCCTGACTTCCCAAGAACTTATATTTGCTCACGACATTTAACCCAAAGAGAAACCTTTCTCTAAAAACATTTTCTAGAGAATTCTTGGGGGACTCTCAATGAAAAGCCAGCAAAGAACCTTTAGCGTAAAATTCTATCCATTTCCAAGTAACTCAACGCCCATAGAATTCTGACTCAGCACCTGAGTGACATAAACGTAAAGTCCGTCGCTTTACACATGTGTCTTGTACAGTACGGTACAGCACACAGAACTAATACAGCATCATTAGCATAAATGCAGTGGTGAGATGGAAGACTTTTTGCAACTTAACTACTTCCAGGTAATTCATTAAAAATGTGTCATAATGAAACTAGATGACCGGCTTCTGGTGGTGTCCCTTCGCCTTCGGGTTCAGGTCAGCGATGGCATAATCCTTTTATAATTGCACTTAGTAGCAGAAATTTAGCGAAAACAAAAGGATTTCCAAACCGGATTAAGAACTTTGGGAAAGACCACGCGCCGGATTAAGCAAATGCGCAGCATCAGCGTTTTATGACCCGCGGGCTTCATCCTCCCATCCTCATCCTCATCCACATCCCATACCCCGGCGGTCAACAGGTAGATGGAGGTTGCGTAGGTACCCGCCTAGGCTTGGATAAAGGTCAAAACAGTGGCCCAGGGGCTGGGCTAAAAAGGCCATACGGGCCAGCAGCAGCCATTTTGACCAACTGCTTGTGACAGCTCGCCGACAGCTTCCAATTCAACGCGCTCAATGAACCGGGCTTGAACCGACTTGGAAACGAACAACGAAATGGATTTTGAGCTGCACCGCAAAGAAAACAATAGTAACTTGATGTTTACTAACTAAATTTAAATTAATATGATAGTGTAATGTATAGTTTAAAGGTTGGTTTTAAGAAAGCAAGCCTTTTCTTGGACTTTGAATATTTATTTTATAAAATATGAGAGTCTCTTAGCAACGAAATGGATTTTGAGCTGCACCGCAAAGAAAACAATAGTAACTTGATGTTAACTAACTAAATTTAAACTAATATGATTATGTAATGTATCGATTTAAAGGTTAGTTTTAAGAAAGCAAGCCTTTTCTTGGACTTTGAATATTTATTCTATAAAATATCATAGTCTCTTTGTTCTTTTTTCTTTCCGTGTACAAATGCAACCTGAGTTGGGTCTAAATCTGTGCGTGTGAAGGCATATATTCCAGCGTAAAGTAGCCAGTAACCAGACGAGACAATCATAATGATTGCTGTATCATCGCATCATCATCATCATTATCATCAACATTGGTATCATCATCTTGGACTTCATCTTCTTCTGCCCTGAGGCTCTTGCATTTAGCACCCAAATGGGCATTGAATCATAATTTATTTGGCCCAAGAATTACCATAAGATAAATAAAAGCAACCTCGAACGCAACTTTCACTGGTCATTGTTATTGTTAATGCCATTACCATTATTATTATTATTCTCGTGGCTTAATGCAGCTCAATAAATTTTCCCTTAAAAGAATTCGTTGATAAGTCGCAGACAATGCAAAGGGAATTTTCACTTTCCTTTCGGCACTTAAATATATATGGGCCATAATTAAGTTGAAATTAACTTGATTCGGCGGCGGTGCGTTTTTAGATGCGGCGGGGGAAAACCGAGTGTCAATTATGTTAAGTGAAATTACAATTACATGAAAAGCATTTTTAAAATCATCTAACCAACCCACATTAAATGGGTTTCAGTGGGTGTGGGGGCGGTGTCGGAGGGGGTCAAGCCAAGGTCACAGGCCTGAACTTCGCCCAGACATTCGTTCATAAATAAATATTTAACACGCAGTCCTTGGGCCGTGGGCTGGAGAAAAGAAAAGTAGGATGGACGAGTGCCACTTTGGGATTATATTTATCACTTCATGGAAACTCATTAAGTAAAAATGTTTTTCATTTTGCCGAGAGTTGAGACTGAATTTATGTAGTTGCAATTCGGGTTCGGGTTAATGGGTAGAAGTGTGCTTGAGAAATGGCTCCAAGTTGGGCATAATTCTTAATATCTTGAGGCCGAGTGTGTAAAGCCATAAAATTATAAATTCTTTAAAAGTTTTGAGGCGATAAGTCTGTAATGAATTATTGTTATGAGAAGCTTGTACTTGAACTCTACAATATCCTTGGAACAGTTTGCCTTAATTTAAAAAAAGTACTTCTTTCGAGAACCTTCTCGAACATGTAATTTCATTGACAAATATTTCTACTGGCAAGTGACTAGTTAATCTTTAGCTTAGCAAAACCATTGAAGAATACTCGTGCCGAGCAAATCCGCAGACACTTAGTCACCGTCTAATCTCCGCCTTATGGCCATATTTAACCAGCGGCCAACATCGAGCGAAAGGTCAGGTCATAAACACTTTCCGCTCAAAGGAAACTCGTTGCGAATACCAAAAAAGAAGGTAAGTAAAGTAGCCTGGAATGGAGATGTCAAACATTTGGCAACTTTGCAAGGGATCTGTGATTCGTAGAGAAAGGAACGGGAACGGATAACGGATCTGGATTTACCGAAGCACTTCAGGTAATTACGCGACCCGCACAAGTCAGCAGGTCAGTCGGGCGGGTCAACAGGTAGCTTAGCGCCCCAGATATAAATAATCCTGGTAAAGTACAACAGGACATCATTCACAGCTCAAGCTGCCAAGCAGTCACAGCAAGCACAGCTCGCGGAGTTGCAGATTTTCCGAAAATCGAACAAATCCCTAAACATCCACAAAACCGGACACATGGAAGGCCATCAGCGCAACCACCGACGCGGAGCTCGTCCGAGCGTGGGCTACTTGCTCTTCCAGTACCAGAGCGAGCTGACCCGTCGCCATGCGGAGCCCACGCGTCTGTCCCGCACCAAGATCAACATCATCGACGGCCTGGTGTCCCGCACCATCCGTCACCTGAAGCACTGCAGCGTGGAGGAGCTGCAGGCCTGCAAACGGGGCCTGGTCTACAAGGAGCAGCTCCGAGATCAGCTCAAGGGAATGCGTCGCCGTCGCTCCTCCGCTGCCAACACCAACACTTCCCAAAATAGTTCCAGTAACACCAAGACCGCCGCCAAAACGGTGACTCCCAAGGCTCCTGGCACTCCACCCAAACCCAAACCCGCTGAAGGTGGTCGCCCGAAGGTGTCCATCTTCGGTCCCGAGATCTTTGTCTGACTCTAAGTTACCACAAGATTTGTATGTTTTAATTTACTTTAAGTTTAGAGTAGCTTGACCTTAATTGTTGACGATTAAAAATCAAAGAACAAGATTGTATATTGTACATAAAGAAACTATAAGCAAATAAACCTTAAAAGCAAATCATTTTTACAATTTGTTATTGTTTTGTAAGGGAAATTAATGTAGGTTTTTATTTCAGATGAGTTTGGCAATGGAAATGGTCTATCAATTCTTTTAGTTAAGGTTTTTTAATAGGGTTTGTTCGGAGAAATATGCTACTTATCAATTTGATTATTAAATTAATGAAAATTGTAGTTCTTTTTACAGTTGGTTCAATTTTAATGAGCAAGTAATATAATAAGTGAAAGAAGACACTACTTTAGTATAGATTAGCTTTGGGATGGGTCTTGTTTTTTCTTAATATCAAATCAAATTATTCCAATTTGCATATAAAATGGCACAGAACATTAAAAAGAACCCAAGGAAATATTTAAAACCAATTAATTTATATTATATAAATTAATATATTGGGTTCTATATAACAAATTAAAACTATTTAAATTATTATTGTTGTTATAAGAAATTGCATCGATTTATTTCGAGGAATTATTTTAAAATATTAAGGAAAATTAAAGGAAATACATTAAACCAAAAACTACTTTAAATTAAGCTTTCGTAAAACAAAAACCAAGACTAAAAATTCCCCTCCCTTTAGACCCCAATTACTCCCTCTTAAACGCTAAACTTAAATACACAAATAAGACCTCTTTAAAATTCGAAACTTTAAGCGAAACGAGAAGAAACAAAAAACTCTTGCAATTACACAAAAATGTCAATTGTCGGCGCTTTGTTGTAGGAGTGGAAATTCCTGTTCTGTAAGCCTGTTTTTGGCTCCGTTTTTTTATTTTTTTGGTTTGAATTTTTTGCGGCTAGCCAGGGCTAAAATGTGTGCCGCGAAATGCCAGGCCCGGGGTTCGAGACCCAAGAGCCAAGAGTTCCCACGAAGCGGCGAAGCGATCCAATGAAAATTGGCCACCGCCACTCACCACCGCCGATCTCTGATAGATGCGTCCGAGAGCCAAGACAGGCCAAAAGAATGCGGTTTAAAGTTCAATCGTGCAGCAAGTGCTATTTGAGAGGAATAAAACACGAAAACTAAAACTAAAACAAGGAACATCGATTCGAGTCGGGAAATCGTGAGTTGCGATGATCTAACCGTGGCTTTCTTCCACAGAAGTTATGAACCTGCTGCGATCGATATGCAAATCGTCAGCGGGAGAAATGTATACTAATGAATATATTAACCAAATCAAGTTCAGGCCAAGTCCAAGACCGAGTTCTGACGTTTTCACAATTCGCCTCATTAGCAGAGAGCTCTCCCCGAATGGGTTAATTCTTAGGGCCTTCCCCCTCCCCTTCCCTTGTTTAGACTGCTGCATCTGCTGACTTACCTTCAAGCGTTGAAATATTCCACTTGTTGTACAAATTTGTTGCTTTCTATTTGCATATCTCTGGGTATAAAATAAATTATGAGCACAATGTTAACTGGCGAACAAATAGAAGAAGAACGCACTCCGAGTGACGTTTTCTTTTTTATCGAGCACTCTTTACTTCTTATATTTATTTATTTTCTCTCTCTCTCTCTCTGGCTTAATTTATATTCCAACACTTTTGAGTGAAATGCAGCTGCAGCTGCTTTAGTTTAGACACAAACACGTTTTCTTGCGGTAATTGCAGCAAAGCCCCCACCGAAAATAACGAGGGAAACGTAACGAAAAAAGCGATCGAGAAGTGCAACGCGGCGAAATGGAACGAAAAGCGAGTTAAAAGCTTAAGACCGAAGCCAAAATGCAAATGGTAACACGCACACGAGGGCACAGCAAAGTAAAACGCGCACAAAACACACACACACAGAGACACACCGCAGTTTCGGGCCCTGGGAAAACGTTCGTTCTTCGGCTAAGAAGAAGACGCTTTGCCCCAAAGATGGTGTCTATTTTTCCAGCAGACTCGTCTATATACCGCAGACGGAACGCGAGATGCGCGTCTCGAGCTCCACGACTTTTCACGGCGACGAACAAAAAGTTTATGCTTGCCGGATGGCAGCTTAAAGTTCGAAAAGCCCGTCGCTCTGTGTTCGAAATTCGATGAGAGCGGGCTTAAGCCAGCTCTTGCGAGCTTAAGCAAGCTCTCGCGAGCTCTCTCTCTCTCTTTCGATCGCCGCCAAGTTCGTTGCCTAAGTCATTTGGTTTTCCTCTGTTGATTTTTTTTTCGAGATTTTAGAATCCGCTGTTGTTGCTGCTGCCATTGATTTATTGTCCAGCAATAACTGTTTTTTGCATTGTGCGTTGAACTTGTTTCGGAACAGAATGATACAGAGTGAGAGAGAGAGAGAGAGAGAGAGCAACACGGCGTATGATCGATATTTATTGTGATGACACACTTCTGGTAAAGATTTTGTCGGTTTTGTTTTTGGTATTTTCGGGTGCTTATTCGTAGATCTTTTAATCTCACACTCTCCGCTTGGCTTTAACTTTCGCTGGTGCTCGCTCTCGTTTGCTTAAAGACTTTTACTCTCTAGCTTTGGTGTAATTACTTAAGGTGCTCTCACTGCTCTGATGTTCTCCCTGGCGGATTTCGCTCTCAAGTTTTCGCTCTGAATTCGCTCTGTTTACTCCAGAAATTACCACCTAGTGCTGGCCCCCTCACACACACTGCGGCTTAGTGCTGTCTCACGTTTTTATGTTTTCGTTTTTTTTTTTTTTGTCTATCCAACTTCGAATGACTTCTTAACGGTTCGCCACTTAATGCCTTGTTTTTGTACACGGAGGGAAATTTATTGTCGTTTTATGGGGAGGATTTAAGGGTACTAAGTGAATGAACGAAGGGGAATTTACTTAACTTGTGGAATTAATGTTTTAAGTTTAAAACTAAACAGAAAATACATTTATAATTATCTTTACATTACAAAATAAATTTTATTTTGGCATAATTAATTTTAATGGTCATAAATAAGAAAAACGAATATTCTTTAATCTACGCTATGATTTAAAGTCCATTAGGTTCTGGGATAATAAAAGATATACTTATTTATTAAAATCAAAGCATATCCAATCAGCACCAACTTGCTTTTAATCTTTCCTATATTACTTGTTTAATTATTTGAGACTTACTATTATTTCAACAAATTAAGGAGTGGGATACACAATTAAAGATATCTTAGTATATATTTTCTTATTCTATTAATTCATTTGTTTTATTTATAAATGTAAGCTATTTAATAATTTACAAAATAATAAAACTGAAAACTAAAACTATTTTGTAGTACAAGTAACATTTTCTATAAAATATAACCTGGCCAGATCATTATTGACCTACATTTTTAGGGACATTTTAAGTATTACATATTTCAGAAGCTTTATTGTCCTATTTCTTTAAAAGACATTTGAAATATTGAAGATGAGATATTCAAATCGAAATACATAGTATATTAAATAATATCATTCAAACCAAAATACTTTACAATATAAATCTATCAGATAGAAAATATAAATGTTGTGTTTTCCTTTCAAGGTAGAATACGATTACCTAACAAATTCTCTACTATTTATATTTTACTTATATTCTATAATATTTTTTCTCACTCTGCAGTACTTAGTTTTTTGTCGTTAAGTTGGGCTCTCACAGAGGGCCATCTCCCCCAAAACCCCTCCTCGGGAATTGCAGCTGTTATTGTCATTTTGCTTTTAGCAGCAGCAGCAGCTTCACCTCAACTTGGCTCAGTTCGGTTCAGCGCGGTTCGCTTGAGCGTAAATTTCTGCGGTTTCCCTGCGATTCTTTTGGATACCGAAACCGCTCCTCCTTCTGCTTTATCAGCATTGTCATCGTCGTTCGCCTTATTGTTATTATTGTTGCTGCCGCTCTCTGCTCTCCGCTTTTTGCGACTTTGCGATTTTCTTTTAGCTAGTTTTCCCTGCCTGCCACGCTTGTAGGGCTGCTCGTCGGCTATATCTGTTATATAGCTATATCGGTCGTTATAGATATATTTATATATATGTATGTATATAGATGCAGCAGCAGTTACCACTGAAACCGCAGCAGTCGGTCGCCGATATGATCTGATTTATTGTAGTTTCCCGACTTCTTGTTGTTGCCGTCGCCTGTTAAAATATTTATTTACAATTTTCACAATTGGCATTTCAGTTCAGCGAGCTTGTCTCTGATTGTTTGATTGCATTGTTGTTGCTGCCGCCATTATTGTTATTGTCGGGACTGTAGCTCCAGACTGTTGCCCCACTTTTACTTATGCACATAAATAATTAGAGTATTTATGCTGTAAACTGTGCCTGATAACAACATTTGCATCCTCGTTAGCCAAGTTGGCAACAAAGTATGCACCAAGTTTTCGGAGGGTTTATGTTGGTTTATTGACATATTAAGGAAGGGTTTCTTTGATTTGTTTTGGGGATTTATTGGGGAAACGAAAGGGATTAATAAAGAAAATTATTTTTAGATGTAAATAATTTAAGCATAAGTCTTCATTAATAAATAATACGTCATATTTCCCATACATTTTGAAATATTTTATTTGGATGATTACTTCCTTTAAAAAATTAATTGAGACATTTTTAACTACTAAAACATGAAATAAATTCATTAACCAAAGCTTATTAAAATATTATTTTATTTCATACATTTAATATATAAAAATATGCTAAAAGTAAAACTCTGTTTGATCCTTAATTAGAATAAACAATAACTTAGCTTATGATATTAGTAAATATTGGGTGTTTTTTAAATCTAAAAATAATTTCTTTTTTTTAAACACAATCAAACCCTTTTTTATTAAATTTTATTTCTGTAAAAAGTTTATTTTGTACTTGTTATTTTGATTAGAACACAAAAGAAACCTAATCTATGATCTTGTTTTTTAAAACAAATATTATTCATTAATTTTAATCAAGTTTTATCTGAAAATAAGCCATTATTTAATTATCAAATTATGAGAATATAAATAAATATATTTAGAAAATCGTGTGATGACTGTAGCTCACTCTATACCCTACAGTGGCGCCTTTATCGAAGTAGCGGAAATTTCCGAGACTTTTACACGCTTGATTTTCTACGGCATACTTTGAGGCGGGCAAATACAAAGTTTATAATTGCGATCTCGCATGAGAGTTTTCCTTTTTTTTTAGGTTTTTCTTTAGGGGGAAAAATCAGTGCCAATCGCTTTTCCGTTTGCCCTTGCCATCTCTTCCTTTTTTGTTGGTTCATTTCCAAAGCGCATGAGCTCTTAATTAGCCCGCAATGAGTTGTCGATACACCATTTGCGGGCTCATGAAACCGAATTTCGGTTTCATTTACAATTTTTGCCCTACCAAAAACCTGACATAACAATTTCAGCTTGTCTAAGTCTAATTACAAGCCTCCTCCTCCTGTAAAGTGTTCTTTTGGTTTGAGTTTTGCCTCTAATTGCATTTCCTGCGCTGCCAAAACAGTTTTGTGGACTCATCTAATGGCGAAAAATGTGCCGAGTTTCCGAGGCGCAAAGGGTTGAAATATCGAAGCAGCCGAGGAAAATGGGCAGATAATAAGCCGCTTGCCGGGGTTTCGTTAATTTGTGGGTGGCCCAAAACCGTCACAATTATCTGGCATGTGAGGAAAATTATAGACATTCGTTAATTGGCCCGGAGGTGTTGGCCTGTTAACTGCCACAATTAAAATCAATGCCACAACGACCCAAATCTGCAAGGCAACCGAACTCAATGGGTTTGCTGCAAAACGATATTGTATTTTTTATTAAGGGAAAGAGGAGAAGGAATAAACTAGTTTTCCTTTACACCTTTTAATATTTCCTTAAATATAGGGGGCTCTGTTATTTCTAAATATATTTCAACTTTATTTTAAATCATTTGCATTGCCTTGAAAGAGGTATTTCAAATTATATTTCCAAACTTATCCAAGAAAGCCTTGCCAATCACCTCGACAATGAATCAGGTTACATAGAACTTTGCTCAGTTCAAAACACACATCCATTCGGTTCATCTCAGTCCAGTTTTTCCAACCGAATAGAAGCTATCCGTTTAGTAAAATTCTTCTTTTATAATGGCGCTCTATTATGGCGTTGAGAAGAAGGAGACGGTGCCCACGTACATGAAGTACATGATGGGTGGATCATCCGCTCTGTTGGCCACATCGCTGACCCAACCGTTGGACCTGGTCAAGACCCGCATGCAGTTGTCCGGCACTTTGGGCGTTCCGGAATACAAGACCTCCTGGGAGGTTCTCTCACGTGTGTTCAAGGGCGAAGGCATGGTCTCACTCTACAACGGCCTTGGGGCTGGGCTGTTGCGGCAGGCCACCTATACTACCACCAAGTTGGGGCTCTACCAGATGGAAGTGGACTGGTATCGCAAAAACTTTGACACCGAACCATCCCTGGTGGGTTGCATGGCCATGGGCATTGTGGCAGGTGGCTTTGGGGCCATGTTTGGCACCCCGGCGGATGTGGCCATGGTCCGCATGATGGCCGACAATCGCTTGCCGTCCTCGGAGAGACGCAACTACAAGAACGTGGGCGATGCCTTCCTGCGGATTGTGAAGGACGAGGGAGTGCTCACTCTCTGGCGTGGATGCCTTCCCACCGTGGGCCGTGCCATGATCGTTAACATGGTCCAGCTGGCCTCGTATTCCCAGCTGAAGCAGCAGTTCCGCGGTCACTTGGACGACGGCTGGAAGCTGCAATTCGGTGCCGCCATGGTGGCCGGTCTGCTGTCCACCGCAGCCTCCTTGCCTCTGGACTTGGCCAAGACCCGTCTCCAGCAGATGCGAATGATCGAGGGCAAGGCAGAGTACAGCGGCACCATCGATGTGCTACTCAAAGTGGTGAAGAACGAGGGATTCCTGGCCATGTGGAAGGGATTCACTCCGCATCTCTGCCGCGTGGCACCGCACACCGTGCTCTCCTTTGTGTTTCTGGAGCAGATGAACAAGGTCTATGTGAAGCATGTGATCGGGGAGTCCTCTTCGGATGATACCGATTAAAGAAAGCAGGCTAT